CTATATCCTATTGGCCACTGAACCCTCTCCCTCCTCCAGGTCTATCCCTCCCTCACATAATAGTCTCTGTCAATCTAGCAGGCCAGTGCAATCTTCTTTTTTTCATTTTCTTTTTCTTCAGTAAATGGGATAACAAAATGACCGGACTGTTCTCAGAAGATGGAATACAAATGACTAATAAAGACATGAAAAAATGTTCAGCCACACCAGCCTCAGAGAAATGCAAATTAAAACTTCTCAGAGATCCCAGCTCGCCACAGTCAGAAAGGCAGTTATGAAGAAAACAAATAATAACAAATGCTGGAGAGGATGTGGGCAAAATCAGCCCGATACACTGCTGGTGGGGATGCAAACCGGTCCAGCCAGGACTGAAGGTTCTCAAGACATGGGAAACAGATCTACAGCGTATGACCCAGCCGTAAACTTCAGGGTGTTTATCCAAAGGAGTTCAAGAGAACGTAATCGTAAAGACACGGGGAGTGCGCTCTCTGGCACACTGCTCGGCCTGCTCCTGATATTCGCGCTGTACCTGCTGTCCACGAGGCCGAGGAGCCCCAAGGCCGGTCACTGGGGTTCCCCTCAGATCTAGTCCAGCTGCAGACGCTCCCCGAGGTCCTTCGAGAGTACGGGAAGGAGCACCAGGCCTGTGTGTTCCTGCCCTTCTGCAGTGCCTACCTCTACAAACAGGGCTTTGCCTGGCTCCAGTTTCCTGAATGTTTTGGCTGGTGCTTTGTCTTGGCCATGGCTGGGACTTTTGCTGTGCTGTGTGCTGACGTTAGTGGGTGTCGCCTGCTGCTACCTGTTTCCCAAGTTCGGCGAACAGCCCTTGGTCTCCTACTTTCCTGGTAAAGTGGCCCAGCTGCAGGGGAAGGCGGAGGAGAACAGAAGCAGCCTGCTCTTTTTCCTGCTGTTTCTCAGACTCTTCCCCATGGCACCAAACTGATTCTTGAACCTCCCCATCGTGCAGGTTTTCTTCTCAGTGCTGATGGGTTTGATCCCATACAATTTCGTCTGTGTGCAGACAGGTTCCGTCCTGTCCACGCTCCCTTCTCTGAATGCTCTCTGCGCCTGGGAAACTGGTTGCTTCGGTTCCTGGAACCCTCATCAAGAAATCTAGCTAGAAGCACCTGGCGCTGAGTGACACAAGCAACACGAGTCGTCTAGATGGCAGGAAGGGTGCGTGATAAAGGTTCCATGTTTACACAGCCCTGGATTCTGCTGCTGATCTGTGTGATAGGCACGGTCCTTTTATTGTCCTCACAGTGTTTTAACTGCCCTCAAAAGGTGATCTAAGCGGCCGTCTAGCGTGCACAGAGGCAGATTAGAAGGGTACTCTGTTTGAGGGTTCAGTCCTGTCCAGGGTTCTGTGAAGTGGACTGCTTTCTAGAAAATCTTATTCTGGTTCTATCCAATGGCAGAGGACTCGATCTGTTGGGCTTGCCCCTTGCCAGCCCCTGAGATGTCCTGGGAGAAGATGGTGGTGCCCTTTTCCACAGGTACTCCTGGTAAGTCCCTGTTCACACCAGACAGGACTGTAGCCCCTGCTAGTCTCTTGAAGAGGGTCTTCTCTACCTTTTTGCTGATGATCTACATACCTGTAAGCCAAGGGACACAAGAGACGCAAGCTTACACACACAGCTTGAGTGCAATGTTTCCAGTAACACCCCTGTTCACGCACTGATATTTCTGTGTCTAAGCTCCTCGTGTTGTTGCATGTCTTGAGAATGAAGCTGAATGAAACATAATTAAATATGAATGGAGCAAAAAAGAATAAAGACAGTTGCACAGCACTGTCCACTGCAGTACTAGTCACTATAGAAGTTACAGAACCAACCTAACTGTCTGCCAAGAGAAACATGGGTAAGGGTGTGAGTGTGAGTGTGTGTGAGAGAGTGTGTGTGTGAGAGAGAGTGTGTGAGTGTGTGTGTGTGAGAGAAAGAGCATGTGTGTGTGGTGTGTGTGCATGAGAGAGTGTGTGTGAGAGAGAGAGTGAGTGTGTGTGTGAGAGAGAGAGAGTGTGTGTGTGAGTATGTTTGAGAGTGTGTGAGTGTGTGTGTGAGAATATGTGTGGGAGTGTGTGTGAGAGAGTGTGAGAGTGTTGTATAAGAATGTGTGTGTGAGAGAGAGACAGAGTGTGTGTGTGAGACAGATAGTGTGTGTGTGTGAGAGACAGTGTATGTGTGTGTATGAGTGTGAGATTTTGCAGCCACAAAGAGAATGAAGCTATGCAGAAAAGTAAATGGATACATTTTAAAGAATCATATTAAGCAAACTAGGTCAATTACAGAAATATAAATAATGTATGTTTTCCTTCATTTATTGTTCTCAGATTTTACATAGATACATAAAATCACACACACACACACACACATATATATATGTAGAATTAAAACTATCAAAGTGGACAGAGGGGGTCAATAGAAAGAGGGACAGGTTAGTGAGGTATAAAGAATATACTCAGCATACAATATGTACAACTGTGAAAGCTTGAGGAAAAATTTTAATTTAACTGAATTTCAAAAAGAAAGATGAAAGATACTCAATTACTTGTCAGTATCAACTGTGCCATTCTTTTCTATTTTATGTGTAAAGGGTCAATGAAATTTATACAAACAAGAAAAAAACCCAGGGTGGGGGGAAATAAATGAACTCCTGGCCCAGTCCAGGGTGAACAGAATCCAACAGGGAACTCCCATCAACACACTCACCACACCCCTTCCTTATGCACCCCTTAGCCTCGGTACTCCCTAGAAGGAAGACAAGCCATGAGGGCAGAACGCTGGGGTGCATCCGCACATTGCTGTCTGTGTAGCATGCTGTCTAAGAAGTGTCCAGTAGCTATTTGCTGGCTTGGGGTGGGCTTCACAGGCTGCCACAGTGGAGGAACAAAAGAGCACCAGGCAGCCTCTCCAGACAACCTTCCCAGCTAGCTTATCATCTATTGTCTCTCAGCTCCTCACATCTCTTGTGTTTCTCTGGTAATATCTTCCAATACCACTTATCAGCTCCGCCCGGTGCCTTTCAGTCTTCTAAACACAAATCTGCACATGAAGTCTCTACCTTCATTCCAGAATGTTCTATGAGTATCCCAATGAACAAAACAGACAAAACTCTCTGTCCTGGAGGATTGCAGTCTAGATGGTACATAGATGAGCAAGGATAACGGGTAAAATACGGGCAAGCAGAATGTTCTTGAACACCCTTCTGAGGGTCCTGATTGTTTCTGGATAAGATTCCAGTCTTTATACCCTGGAGCCAAGGGTCCTTTTGTGTCAACTTTTCCAGCTCAGTGGAGCTGGCCACAGGCAATCCACATCCCAGGCAAAGCAGATGCTGAGGTCTGTGTGCACTGCTTGAGGTGGCTGTGCCTGCCCTGCGGTCCTGTCCACCCTGGCTCCCATTGCCCTCCCACCTGGACTTCGCCAGTCTTACCTGCTCAACACCAAGGCAAGGCTTCATATTGTCTACTGACCGTTTCCCTCTGGGCTTCGTCCCGCCATTCACCCATCGTTCAGCCAGGAGGCATTCTTCTTAATGGACACTTTCCCCTGTGGGATTACAAGTACCTGCTGTCTTGGAAGGCCTCCGATATTCATAGCTCTGAGTGCCTAACCAATCACAGGCTACCACAACATATTTGCCAAGAAAATGAATGGTGAAGGGACAGGTGGAAGATGCTTTAACTCGTCTTCTGCTGCTATCACATTAGAATGGTTTCTAAAAAACAAAACCTCATCTGAGTCCCTCCCACTGGGAGTCATGCATAAGCAGCTCGACCATCCCTGACTCCATCCCCAGATCTGGCACACAAGCCCTCCACAGACCCAATCCAGTGGCCAAGCCATTGGCTCGATTGTAGATGCCCCCACCCCCACCCAGGGACTCCAAGAGCCACTCTGATCTGGACTCGTTCCCCACAGAAGGGGTCACCTTTGACCTCACGGGGCTTCAGTTTGGGAAAACACAAGTAAATGGGAACAGGAGATGAAGAGGGCTCTCTGAGGACCGGGAAAAGCACCCCCCAGAGAAGCTGGACAGCCAGTCAACTTTCCCTATGTCCAAGCTATGACCTAGCCCCATGCAGGTCTGGAGTTGCTGGACTGCTCAGCAGAGGCCTGCACAGAGGCTAGGAGTGGAGGAAGTGAGGGATGCTTGCCTAACCCCGCCCTAGCACCAGGTGGCGTCCAGCCCCCGGGTAGAGATTCTTTTCTATTCATACAGCAATGCAGCATGCTCTGGTAGACAGCTCTGGGGCTCCCTCAGGGACACCTGCATGATTGAGATGATTGATGAAACGAATTCATCCCTTCTTGGGACACCATGTTAAAATGAGGTACATTCAGGTCTGGGCTTGGTACCAACTCTGTCTCAGGAAAACCATAGCCGTAGCTGATGAGTTGGGGAGAGTGTAGCACAAAGTGTTGTGCTCCTTAATCCACAGGGTAAACGCCTCCTAATATCAGCTCAAAGACTGGGCATCAGGACTCTGCCTTCACTCAAAGACTAAAGTGACAGACAGGAACCCTGAAGGCAGAATAGAGGTCCCAAGTCCCGATGTGATACCTTGTGCTGCCCATTCCCACCCATAAGCATAAGAATCCCTCTTTCCCATTAACCAGCCGTCTCCCAGGGTGCAGGGAATAATATCCTCCCAGTGGCTGCTCCACGGGGACGGCATATAAGAACCATCCAAAGTGCAAGGGGATTGACCCTGCTCCGCAGCGTGCTTTCGGCTTAATAGGAACAGCTGGTCAGTGAAGTGTTTGCCAGCAATTTAACAAGCCTCAAGCAGCAAGAGGCGGCTGCCGATAAATCAAAAGGGAGCGTCTAGCTAAATGAGGTTTAATTTAAATTCCCATCTCGAACTCAGAGAAGAGCTTATTGTGCCGCCTGCTTGTATTAGCACCAGCAAGGCCTCGCAACCTGGCATCCATGCTGACCCCCCAGCCCAGCCCCCTCTCACCAGGCGGCGCCCCCCCCCTCCCCAGGGGTGAGCTATCAAAGCCAGCCACCCTGCTGGTAGGAGTTGGAGAAGCAAAGGAAGAGACAAGATGTCATTTCTTCTCAAAAGAAATAAGAAAACAAAAGGCTCCGTGTGGATGCTGTGAGCTCCCCTTCATGTCCCCAGCACACCCAAGGGTGCTACAGAGGGCCGAAGGCCAGTACTCGAGCATAGGTGACCCCTCGAAAATGTCACCAGGCAGCCTGCTGTGGTGACACCCTAAGAACACAAGATCTGCTTTCTTCACAGGAAACTGGACAGACTTCACCACCCACACACAAGTGGAGGGCTAAAATACAGTCTTCCTCCCAGGCTGCCCTGCCTTCCAACAGCTGGCATTTTCCCGTGCAAACACTGACCCTGAGTGGATATGCAGCATTCTGCTTTTAAATCGGGGCTCCTGGACTTTCATCAGGGATGAGTACGAGCTTAATCATCCCCAGGGCAGACGCGCAACGACTGGCACAGGAAGTTAAACTGCTACAGCTTCCGGTGAGTCCTTCAGCAAGCGGGGTCTTAGTCTCCCTTCTCCCAGTTCTCATCTCACTGGGACCAGCAGTAGCTTCTGGATGGGCAAGGGCCCCAGAGTTACCAGGACCCACTGGATAGGGAGATTAACTCAGAAAACTGCCCATGAGGATGGCGGGAGGGCGGGGCGGGACGGGTGAGACGGGGTGGAGCGGGGCATTCCAGCTGATATCCAATGTCGGTCTTAAAGCTCACATCTGGTCAATCACCACTCCTAAGGGATTACTGTTATGACACCTGGGACAGAAGTATAGAGTGGCTGACACAGGCCTGCATCCTGATGGCAAATGACATCAGTGGCCTCCATGAATATTTCCTAAAAACCAGAAAAAATAAAAAAGATAAAATCTTGCCTCCAGAACCAAAGGATGAACAATAAGAAGGAAGCGAATACAGAACATGCAGCTCTGTGGGGGTCCCCAGAGGAGAGGTTTCAGAGAAATGAGGAGCACAAGGTCTGCATTCTGATGGTGGGGGTGGCCCTGACGCCTGGGAGAGCTTAAACATACAAAACACCAATGCATAGCAAGTAAGTTGGGTTTCTTTTCCCCACACTGTATGTCTATACTAAGTGAACACGTACTGATGGTCAGTATTAGCCACTGAGCTCCATCCCTTGTTCCAGTGGAGCCAGCAAGGAGAGGCTGACAGGGACCTAGCTAGAGTCCTCATGCTTGGGACAGCCTCAGATTCTTTCAGATATCTGGGGTGTGGATGTGTTAGTTTGAAGGGCTCTCAAATGCTAGTTGAGGAACTGGATAAATTTAATGACCCAAAGTGAGGCAGGGGAAGGCCGCTAGCCAGTGTCTAGCACACCTGACCAGGAGCACCTCCAGCTTGCACACAGAGATAGTCAGAAATTGGTTCTGTTTTTGTGTTTTATACTTTGACTGGAGCAGAATTCTGTAATGAGAAGAAACACAGAAGAGGACTCCAGCTGAAATGAAGATGGAATTGAAAACCCAACAACTCAACTAGAAAACTCAAAGGAAAGCCTCAAAAGTAGAATGAATCAAGCAGAAGATAAAGTAATGGATCTGAACCAAAGTTTGCAATGAATATGAAAAAAATTTTAAAACACAGGAAAGGAATACTCGGGAAATGTGGGGCACTGTGAAAAAGTCAAACCTTTGAATTATAGGTATAGATGAGGGAGAAAAACCCCAAGTCAACAAGATCATAGAAGAAAATGTTCCTGAACTAAAGATACATGAATACAGACACAAGAAGCATACAGAACAAAAATAGACGAGACCAGAAAAGAAAATACCCACAGTATATCATAGTTAAAACAGTAAGTATGGTGGTTTGGATAAGAATGGCACCAATAGGTTCATATATTTGAATGGTTAATCATTAGGAAGTGGCACTGTCTGAAAAGGTTAGGAGGTGTGACCTTCTTGGAAGAAGTATGTGATTGGGATGGGCTTTGGAGTTTCAATAGCCCATGTCAAACCCAGAATATCTCTCTCTCTTCCTCTCTGTCTCTGTCTCTCTGTCTCTGTTTCTCTCTCTCTGTCTCTGTCTCTGTCTCTCTCTCTTCCTCTCTGTCTCTCTGTCTCTCTCTGTCTCTCTCTGTCTCTCTCTCTCTGCTATTTCTCCAGCACCATGATTACCAGCTACCATGCTCCCCAACATTAAGATAATAGACATTGTAAGCAAACTCCAAATTAAGTGCTTTATTTTATGAGTTGCCATAATCATGGTGTCTCTTCATAGCAATAGAACACTGACTAAGACAGAAGTTGGTACCAGGAGTGGGATTTTGCTGTGACAGACCTGACCAGGCTGCTGGTTGACAGAATGTGGACTTTGGAACTGTGGATTAAGAAAGCAATCGAATGCTTTAAGCATGAGTCATGTTAGTAAAGACATGGAAGACAGTGGAGCTGAGAGCAATGTAGATTATGATAACTTGGCTCAAGAAGTTTCAGAGGAGAAGAATGTTAGTAAGTGGCCTAGAGACCATTCTTGTAGTATTTTGGCAAAGAGTGTGGCTGCTTTTGCACTTGTCCTAAAAATCTGCCTGAGGGTAAATTGAAAAGTTTTGAATTAATGATGTTGGCAGGGGAGAACTCAAGACAGCCTGGCATTGACTGTGTCACATGGTTATTAGTGGCCACTCTTATGCATATCTCTAAAAGAGCAAGTAGAGTAAGAAAAACACAAAATGTATAGTTTGAAGAAAAAAGGAGCAATAAGAAATGTAATGTTGGAGCCCCAAGTCCAGTCAAGATGATAAGTTTAAAGAAAATCCTGATGCTAAGTGAAATAAAGGGAGTGGTGACCTCAAGGCAAGACTACACACAATTAAGCTTCCAACTTGTGAAAAGATACTAAAGAAAAGCCTAAGAAGTAAAAGAAATCATCAAAAACAAATGTATTTGAAAGAGGGAGCCACGTTCCAGCCTCATCCAGTAACAGAACTTGGCAGTTTCAATCATGTGGTTCTGGCTTTAGAATCAAGAAATACAAGGAAAAGGTTGTAGAGGCCAGGCATATCCCAGGTATGTCCTTATGTACAGGCCCAGAGGGACTGTTGCATGAAGCTGTAAAGGTGTAGCCTGGATTTCATGGAAGGACCTAAAATGTTGGAAAATCTAGAGTGATGGGATACCTGCCAAGCACTTTGCAGACAGGGTATGTAGCCACCCTTAGAGAAAGAAGTGTGTTCCAGTCAACAAATCTCAAAGGTGTTGGAGCTCTGAAGAGCATTTTGACATAAGACATGGACATGCAGAGTTTGGAGTTTTCCCTGTTGGTTTTCAGTCTTGCTTTGGTCAAGTATGCTCCCTTTCCTCAATTTTTGAATGATAATGTATATTCTGTGCCATTGGAGTATGTGATCTGCTTTTTAATTTTGATTTTTTATGTAGGATTACAGTTAAGAGATTGCTATGAGTCTCAGTAAAGACTTTTACTGTTGGACTTTTGAATAGTGTTTAGACTTTGATAGACTATGGGGACTTTTGAAGTTTGACTGAATGCATTTTTGCACTATGATATGGCTACAAGCTTAAGGAGACAAGGGAGTAGAATGTGGTGGGTTGAATAAGTATGGGCACCTTAGTTTCATCTATTTGAATGCTTAGCCATCTGGGAGTGTCACTATTTGAAAAAAATTAAGAGACATGGCCTTATTGGAAGAAGCGTGCCACTGGGAGTAGGCTTTAAAGTTTCAAAAGTCCATGCCAACCCTCCTTCCCCCACCTTTTTTCACCTCCAGATCAGGATATAGCTCTCAGCTACTTCTCCAGCAACATGCCTGACTGCCACCCTGCTCTTCGCCATGATGATAATGGACTAAACCTCTGAAACTATAAGCAAGTCCCTAATTAAATGCTTTCTTTTACAAGAATTGCCTTGGTCACAATGTCTCTTCACACCAATAGTAACCCTAACTAAGACACTAACTATAAATAACAAAGAAAGTGCATTGAAAGCTACAAGAGAGAAAAACACAAGTCCATAAATAAAGGAAAACCCATCAGAAGAACAGTTGATTTCTCAATGGAAACTTTGAAAACCAGAAGATTGGAGGATGCATTCCAAGTTCTAAAAGATTATGATGACCAACCTAAAATAAAATACCCAGAAAAACTATTTGCCATATTTAAAGGAGAAAGAAAAAATTTACTATATAAAAAACTCAAAATTTTTATATCAAACAAAAAATGTATCAAACAAACTGAACCAAAAGAAAACATAGGAAACATTATTTCAGGCTGAGAAGATGACCGAGCATAGCAGAGATAGTGTGGAAAGAATTTTGAAGTCATAATCACTAAAACAAACTACCACAGAGAATACAAACAACAAAAGAAAAATACGACAACAAAGTAACTACAATCAACACACACATTTCAATAGCTACTTTAAATATCAATGTCCTCAATTCTCCAATTGAAAGACACAGGTTGACTGAATGGATCAATAAACAAAATATATCTGTTGCCCACAAGAAACACATCTTAGCTTTAAAATAGGTAGCCCTTAGAGTGAAGGGATGGACAAAACTATTCCAACCAAATGGGACAAGGAAGTAAGCAGACGTAGCTATCCTAATATCTGACCAAATAGACTTCGAACTAAAATTAATCAGAAGATATAAAGAAGGAAACTTCATCCTTATCAAGGGAGCAGTTAACCAAGAAGTTACTGTCCTAAACATGCATGTACCAAACTCTGAGGTGACCAATTTCATTTAAAAAAAATCTACTTGATTTAAAGACACAGATTAGCATCAATCCATTAATAGTAGGTGATTTTGATACTCTACATCCTCCAGTAAACAGGTCATCCAGGAAAAAAAAAGCAAGTGGAGAAATATCAGAATTAATTGACATCATACATCAAATATACTTAACATATATCTATGGAATATTCCACCTAAACACCAAATAATATACCTTCCGTTCAGAAGTACATGGACGTTTTTCTAAAGAAGACCATATCCTGGGATACAAAACAAATCTTTACAAATTCAAAAAAGAAAATTGAAGGCACTCCTTGTTCCCTGTCTGACCACAATGCAATAAAAATTAAAATTAGAAGCAAACAAATTTCTAGTAAATACACAAACTTGTGGAGATTAAATAATTCCTTACTGAATGATGAATGGATCCAAAAAGAAAACAAGAAAGACATAAAGAATTACCTGGAAGTAAATGAAAAAAGAAACACAGCACAACAAAACCTCTGTAACACACTGAAAGTCATCTTACAAAATTCATAGTTCTAAGTGAGTACCTATATTTAAAACCCAGAAAGAACCCAAATAAATGACTTAGTGATGCAACTCAAAAAGTTGGGAAAACTAAATACAAACCCAGTCAAAGCAAGAAATAATATTATCAGAGTAGAAATCTGAAATACAGAGAAAACAATACAAAAATTTAACAAATCTAAGAGTAGGAACTTTGGGAATATAAACCAGACACACAGACCCTTGGCCCAACAAACCAAGAAAAAAGAGACTACCCAAATTAACAGAATCAGAAACAAACAGGGAAGCATTACAACAGACACCAAAGAAATTAAGAATACGTTAAGGAGGGCTTTACCCTTACTCTATTTAGCTGGAAAACCAAAAAGAAATCAGTAGATTTCTAGATTCAACTAAACCACCAAAATGTAATAAATAGGAAATCAGCAACCCAAACAGACCCACAACAAATGAGGAGTTTGAAATAGTAATGAAAAGCTTTCTGGCCAAAAAGAGGTAATTCTACAAAAGAAAATCTATAGTCAATCCTTCCTAAACTATTCAAAAACTTAGAAGCAAAAGAAGTACTTCCAAATTCCTTCTACAAAGCCAGTGTCACTCTAATACCAAAACCAACTATAGACCCAACAACAACCTCACATCAATTTCCATGATGAACATAGACTCAACAGAATACAAACATACATAAAAAATATTATATACCATGACCAGGTTGGCTTTACCCCTGAAATGCAGGCATGATTCAACATACACAAGTTAATAAGTGTAATAAACCACATAAATGGATGAAGAGAAAAATCACAAGATCATCTCAATAGGTACAGAAAAAGCCAGTGACAAGATCCAACATGACTCATGATAAAAGCTCTAGCAAATATAGGGCTAGAGGGAACATACCTCAACATAAAAAAGCTTTTGAGAAACCCACAGCCATCATCATCCTAAATGGAGAAGAGCTTGACACAATCTCACTGAAGTCAGGAACAAAACAGGGATATCCACTATCCTCACTCCTTTTCAACATTGTGCTAGAAGTTTACTAAAGGGATACAGATAAGGAAAGAAGACAAACTATCCCTGTGTGCAGATGATACATTATACATTAGAGACAAAATAATTCTACCAGAAAACTTGTAGAAATTATAAACAAATTCAGCAATGTATCAGGATACCAAATTAACTTGCACAAATCAATAATTTGTCTAGATACCAACAACAACCATACAAAGAAGGAGATCATGGACACACTTCCATTCACAATAGACTCAGAATATCTAGGAATAAACATAGCCAAGGAAATGAAGGATCTCTACAACGAAAACTTTAAACCTCTGAAGAAAGAAATAAAGATTCTAGGAAATGGAAAGAAATTCCATGCAGACCAATGGGCAAAAACCAAAGACCCAAATGTGAGCACTTATTATTTGACAAAGATACCAAAAACATAAACTGAAGGGGGATGAAGAACCTCCAACAAATGCTATGCAGATGAATGAAATCAGTTTCATCTCTCACCTTGCACAAAATCTAACTCCAAATGGACCAAGGACCTAAAATTGCGAAACCTGAAATACTGAAAGTGCTAGAAGAAAACATACGCAGGACCATTCATGACACAGGTGTAGGGAAGGACTTTCTGAAGAGGACTCCATGTGTCTAAGAATTAAGTCCAATAACTGGCTTCTGCAGGGCTAAAGAAACAGTCGACCTGGTGAAGAGGAAGCCCACACATGGTAAAGACCGTCTGCCAGCTATACATCTCACAGAGGATTAATATCCAAAACATATAAAGAACTAAAAAAATAACAAAAAGAAAATGCCTCATTCAAAGAATGGCCCTGGTACCTGAACAGAGAGAGTTCTCAAAAGGAGAAAAACAATGGCCAACAAATAACTCAAAAACTGCCCATTGTCCTTAGGAAATAGGGAGCTACAAATCAAAACAACTTGATATTTCATCTCACTCCAGCCAAAAATCAGTGGAACAACTGACAACAAATGCTGGAGGGGATGTAGGGAAAAGGGAGCCCTCATTCACATTGTTGAGATTGCAAACTGGTGCAGCCACTATGGAAATCGGTGTGGAGAATTCTCAAAAAGTGAAAAGTAAATACACCATATGACCCAGCTATACAGTCCTTGGCAAATGTGCAAAGGGCTTGATCCCAGATTCTTACTCAACCATGCTCATTGTTGCTGGAGTCACAATAGCTAGGAAAGCAGCAGAAATGTCCTTAAACATACAAATAAAAATAAAAATGTGAAACATACACACATTTGTAAAGCAAAATGAACTCATGTCTGTTGTACATACATAGATAGAACTAGAAAAGGTCATATGGAGTGAAATCACCCAGACCCAGAAAGACAAATGCTGCTTGTTCTCTCTCATTGGAGGTTCCTAGCTCCAAATCTTCAGATGTGAGTTCATATCTGAGAGTAAATTCAGAAAGCAGGAACATAAAAAGGATCATCAATAGGATGGGGGGAGCAATAGGAGCAGGAATGGCAGGGTCCAAATAACCTGATCAAAATGGGAAAAGAGGGCTCTTGGGGGGGGGGAAGAGGAAAATAAATACAGCAAGTGGGGGAGGGGTAAAGCAGACTAGCAGGATATAGTGATCTGATAGGGGAAATAGGAAAGGGATGCTCTTTATAACATAACAATAAAGATGTCTCAGAAAGTCCAAGAGAATCATACTATCAACTACTTACCTTTTAAAGACCCATAACACACATAATTCTGTGGATAATCATGCATATATAGTTTAAATGAATATTTCTTATCTGAGCCAGCAATGCTCCCTCCAACAGCAAAAGGCCACTGAACAAAAACCCCAACCAGTCATGAGAAGCCCTCTTTGAGTCGTGGGCCAGAGTTGTGCAAGAGAATCCCCATACAGTCTATGGGTATTGCCCTTGGTTGCCCCCCCCCCAGAGGTGGAAGATAACTACCTATTGCAGAAGATGCTATGCACTTCAGACACATGACGCAGAGGCACCTGGGAATTGACTTGAATGTTTCCTCCCTGTGAACTAGCTTTCATGGTACCAGAAGGTGCCATGTAAACTTCCATAAATGGAATCAAACAACTTTTCCTACCAGTAGCTGTGATGCCTATGAAACACAACAATGACTGGCATAGCACAATAACCATACAGGTGCAGTAATGGCATACTTACCTTGGTGGTAACCAACGGCTCTCTAATTGACCTAATAACTCACTCAACAGGAAAGAGATCATGTCTGGTACTGGAAACCTAGGCAACTATCCAGGGCTAGCGAAGTCATGGATCTTGGAGGAGAACCTACAACTCCTACTTTACTAAACTAACATAATTCCTAAGTACATGCTAAATTTTTGTTCTTATGCTCACAGATAAATGTAGTTCTCGCCCCCTCATCAAGGGAACTACTCTTTGCAACAGACAGAGACCATTACAGAAAGCTACAACTAATCAAGATGTAGTGTTGTGGATCCTAGTCCCAGTAGATAAGCTACAAAACATTCCCACACCTAAGACTCAGGGAACATTGCAGAAAAGGGAGCAAAAAGTTTGCTGGAACCAGAGGATAATGGAATTTGTTGTGAAATTGTGTCTCCTACTAATGTCAGAAGCTATAC